AACAACAACAACAACAACAACAACAACAACAACCACAACCACAAAAAGTCTTAGCATGTGGTTTAACGACCAATAGGACTTCACGTTGGATTGTTGAGGGGGCACGGGCAGGGTCCTCTTTCGAGGGTGATTACAATGCAAACTCCTTCACTCTGCTGAAGGTAAGCTAAGAGAATCCTTTTCGCCATGACACATGGAAGTAAACAAGTTCATATCTTCTCCGTCAAGTGGTCGGACCACCATGATTGAATCAGTCTGTTGTTTCTTACGCACTTCATCGTTGCCCCACCGATCTCCCCGGTACCGCGCCTTCATGGTTAAAAGCTGGGCCATACAAGAACCGCCGGTAGCAGCACGCCGCATAGACTGCCGAGGACGTCAAATCCACCAACCTGGGTGGGGGGGTACAAGATCCGCAGTAACCCAGAACTTCCGCTTTTTGAACCATTTTTACCCCATCTGGTAGTCATGATCTACCGCTTGTCAGGGGTTAACACCCAAGAAATCGAACATGATGCTGCCAAAAGAACCATAAATTGATAATACATTTGTGTGCATGATGCTCACATATGTTTTTACACACACTTTTAAACACATGGTCTTGAAAGGCGCCTCAGTGGACCTCATCACTGGATACTTCAGGTTCACTGCATCACATCGGTCCACCGGCCCAACACACGGCCTCCCCTCCCTCACACAAAAAACCCGCCCGCCGCGGGTTCGCGTGGAGTTCACTCACTGTGACGGCGTTTCATGGCCGGGTGAGAATCTCCCGGACATGGGGTGTGTGTGTAGTATCTATAGGGGTGTCTCCCCCCATCTCGCCGGGGTTTTGGAGGGGTTTGTAAAGGTGTTTCTCATCCTATGTTGCAGCGGGGGGGTCCTTGCATAGGAGCGTCTCCCGATTCGCCCACCTCCACGCCCACCTCCCCGCCCGACCCGAAGCCGTTCGCTCGCCAGGTGGGCGCCGAAAGGCTCGATGGAACGATCAAGGCAGATCCAGGGACGTAGGCACCGCTGCGGGACGCCTTGAGGCGGGAGGGGACGGAGGGGACGAGGAGGGAGGAGGCTCGTCTTTGCGGTGAGCGAGGTGGCTGATGCCCAAATCTTTGGGAGGTGGTGGCCTCCCACTGAAGTCTCACCCTAGAGGCAGCCAGAGGTGAAGGCTTATCCTCTGTAGAGGCCTGTAGAAGGTCGCGACTTTGGGGGGCTCCTAAGGGACGGTCACTGGGCTGGTCACTGGGTGATGTAGTTCCTGGGTGCCATGACCCATCCCGTCAAGAGCGATGAAGTGAGCTGAAGACATGGGTGAATGAGAGACACCAAATGCTGGATGCTGCGGGATTGGTGTTCGCCATCTGGGAGATTCCTTACCCACCCAATTCATAAAGCATCTTACTTTACCTGAAGGTTCAATAGTTACTAGGAGCCTGCGAGCAAACTTCTTGACACTGGCTCACATCTGGTCCTCTCCCCAAGAATTCAACCACCTCAGCTTGCATCGAAGGGGACATCCTTAAGAATTCCAATGGCCTCCTTTGGTTTCACCCCCCCATTCCACCTCGTACCAGTCTAACGATATGACCTCCTTCCCCTCAGCTGAGAACGAACCCATCCACAACCTCTCTGGATATTGAAATGTTTGACCCTTGAGTCAACGCCCTCATCAGTCGGAAGGTGCTGCATCTTTTGAGAAGAATTTGTAAATGGCTTTGTCCGGCTGCCGGTTCCTAAGGGAACGCATCTTGCCAAGATGCACTTGGGGACACCTGGGTGGCCCAAGAAGCATCCCATAGCTCAGGCGCTTCAGGGAGATGGGGCGAGTGCGAGGTTCCTGCATGGGCCTGCTTTCTTCATGAATACCAGTCACGACATGGGACTGGCATGGACTGGATTGGTGTTCTTCATCTTACAATCTCCAGGATCCCAAGGCGAGCTGCAGCCCCGGTTAGAGGGGCCTCATGCCGGACTCCGCAGATTATGACACGATGTTTCATGAATTTGATGATCGGACTGAACGATCTTTGTGCATCATCAACCTTCCTGCTGCCGCAGTGTGTGGACAGTCTGCGCCCTGAGCCAAAAAAGCTGTGACATCTGGATGCTCTGATTGTCCAAAGTGAAAAAAGCAGGTCAGTGAAAGGTCTATCTGGAACCTCCAACAGGTCACTAGGTACCTTGAAAGCGGACTGGCAAAACCCGTAGTTGGAGGGTCTCCCTATACATTCTACATCAATGCTCCCACAGGAGCCTTCTTGGAGGATGAACAGTGACTGTCCTCACCACCGATGACCGGAAGAGATGCCAAGACTTGGATATATGTTTGTTTCATCATGCATCCCTTGAACTTCAGGATGCCACTCTCCTCCAGAATGTTGCCAGGGAAACCACGTCATTTGCAATGTTCAAGATCCTTCAGTAGTTAGATGATTTGAGGGGAAGTTTGAAGATGGTTGCGGCTGATGTCACTTGAGGAAAACCCTTAACATGATCCACAAACCATGCCAATCTACAATGGTTTTGAGGTGTGCATTATTGACCAACGACCGCACCAGCCAACATGTACTTCATCAACTGGTCGTCCAAGCAACAAGCCAGGTGCAGCATCACCAAACCCGATGACCTGCAAAGAAGTTGCATGTTTCAGTGCGTGATCTGCCGGTTTTTTGGCGTATCCAGTCGGTCAGCAGCGTGCAATGCTTAGGTGGTATACCATGAGCCACAGGGCACACCAATTTGCGAATCAAACGCCCGAGAACGCACGTGTGTAGCACAAGAAGTTTGAGTTTGGAGCAAGTAGTTACGCTTCTAGAATATGGTCGGTAGAGTCTAGTGAGTTTGCCGGTCCTTGGTTTTCGGATGTTATTCTTCCCATCTCTTGTGGCCTATATACCCTAGGGCTCCTGGCCCACCTCCGTTTCGGAGATGGGACAGGGGTGGGTGCCAGGGGGGTCTAACCACCGAACCTGAGGATATGGGCCAGGAGCCCTAGGGATATCTTCCGGTACTTGGACGTGTTTCATTGAGCTAACTCGTCAGCTGGAGACCTGCATGACGAAGTTAACCCGACAAATCATGTGTGTTCAAAGCATGTTTAGAAGCACACATACCTGGACCCTCCAAGGGGTGTCCAATGGACTACCCCACACTACCGGCCTAGGCTTCCAGACAGGGCACCCCGACAGGAGGGTCCTGGTACTTTGCTTTGAGTGATCCCCACCCTGACAAGGTGATCGATATTGAAAAGAACCTAGGGCACAGGTAGATCCACGACCGAGCGCCGCCGGGCCGCCGTTGACAGCGCTGCAGTGACACTTAAGATTTTGCACATGTGTTCTGTCATCGAGTCTGCTGTATGTTTTCACGCATCATCTATAGCATAACGGCTGGGATATGTTCTGGAATGTGTTCTGAAATTCTTTCTGGCAAGTGTTCTGACATGTTCTGACATTTGTCCTGCTGTCAAGTCTGACCTATGTTCTGCAATATCTTCTGGTGTGTACAATCTGCCATTCATTCCAGCAACAATTCTTGCATGATTCTTCCCACAGATGTGCAAAACATGGTTCTGATGTTCGTTCGGACTTGTATTCTGACATCTCTTTGTGCATCCAGCCACCAACCGACCCTGTGGGCATCTATGGTCCTTGGAGACTGGCCAGCTTGGAGGGTCCAGTCGTACCCCGCTCTCTCTCTCTCCCCCGCGGTCGAACCTCCCCGGCGTGGACCGCCAACTCGCAAGCGGCGGCGTCCAGGGAGCACGCTTCCTGCGCCTCCCCCCAGGAGGCGCAGCAAGTGATGAGGATGGCCTGGGAGGTGTGGGGGCAGTTTTCAGGGCAGGGCATGTCAACTGGAAGCTTGGCACCATGAGGAAAAAGGGAGGAATTGATTGAGATAGTCTCTGAAACATATGTTGCTTTTGTTGGAACTTTTGGGAGGGATTATGGAATGAACATGAACTAACATTAACTAACAACAACTATAAAGAACATTAATGAACCTGCCCGAAGCCATGCTTGCAGCTGAGCTTTGAGGAGTCAACGACTTGGACCGATCGGTGCGACCGGTGAGCTCGTGACCGACCTGCGGTGATTCTAAGCCGATCGCCGTTGTTCGACGAGATGGGAGAAGCACCGAATGTCACTCATCTCGTCAATGACCCAAAAGCGGCTGAACAGATCGGCGTGCAAAGACCGAAGAAAAACGGGCCAGTCCGACACCTGGGGTATCCTGGCGTCATGAGTCACTCTCATCTGGTTCTTCTTTGAAAGGAAAAGCGATCGCATCCGCGGATGAGCTCGTGTCCGTCCCAGGAGTCGCTCGGTTCGAAGGAATGGAAGGCGTCCCAGGTGTCCGGATGAGTGTCGATAGGAGAGCCTCCGATGTTTTGAGGTGTCTACTCTCCCTGCAACTAACATGGAAGTGGACAACCCCCCTGTTTTAGAGAAACATGGTCTTCCTTTCGGCGTCATTCTCCACGTAACCATGTTAGTTCTATATAGGGAGTCTATATACCCTAGGGCTGCCCATCTCCTCAGGTGACCGGTGGTATTTGACCCCCGAAATCCACCCACCCCTGTCCCATCGAACCGATTGCCGGAGGTGGGCCGTTCGGAGCCCTATAGGAATAAACATAGCCTTTAGTGAGCTGAGACTTCGGGGTGTCCAAAAACCCGAACTTGGAGGTCCTGGTATATAGGTCTTTCACTCACTCCATGGTACTTGATCTATCTATCTATCTATCTATCTATCATAGGGAGGGCTCTGCAGCCCACCCACACCAACAAAACCACCGTCTCATCGTGGCCTCCTTGAAGGCAAGCCGTCCAAACGGCCGAATACCTGGCGACTGGGCGGACTGTCCTGGGGATGGGTCTCATGGCTCCATGTTCACCCGACCAGGCTTAGACATGGCACATCAGCACACCTGATAGGTCATGCAAAGTGAAGCTACCTGGCTCCGCCTAGCCTCCGGATATCCATGGGGCAAGCGTTGGAGAACTGGGCACTAGGCCCGGGCTCGAAACTTGGAGTCTGGACTCTTCTCAAATGAGAGTGTTCTTCCGGAAGACTGCCCTCTGTGTGGTCAGCAGAGGGAGCAAGTTCAAAGGTGTTTGAACTAGGAGTTGCTTGGATTTGCTGTCCAAATCGAGGACAAACAAACAGATGCCCCAGAAAATTCGGGGACTCCTCTAAGGACACCCGAACACCACCGTCAAGGAACACAGGTGGCCGTCGACTGCAGGGTCCCGATGGCCCGAAGGACGGCCAGGCCCAAAGCTTCACAAAGAGGCCCCAAACCATACATACCAAGAGAGGTTAAGTGGGGTGGGATGGGGTGGGGTGGGTCAGTGAATGACCTTATAAGATCCTACTGGAGTACACATGAAATAGCCGACCTAGGGTTCTTCAGCAGTTGGCAAAGCGACAACCCAAAGACTCCATCATGCATGCAAATGATGCCATTGACCCCGGTTTCAACCAACCACCCCGAAGGTAGGTCAATAGGCCATACCCAGACACGACCAATGGGACTGCCATATATGCCGATCAGTTGGGGTGGTTTGCGGGGTCAATGTAGGCATACCTACATCTTCAGTCCGGCACTTTTACAGGGTCCGGCGCCGGACTTCCAACTCCGGCGTTTTTCTGGATTTGGTCCGGCGCTTTTTCCAAGTCACTTTATGTGGATTCTCAAGGCTTTGCATTCTTTGTGGTCTGCATTTCTTTGAAGGTAAACCCACTACTGATGCAATGATTTTGTTTGCAAAGTGTGCTCGTTTGCCTGTTCCGTTGTTTTCTCATTCCACCGGTTTCAGCATGGTTCACACTGGATCAATCAGATCCGTTTAGGTGATCTTCTATATGAAATCGGATGAAGCCGGTACAGTGCGATGCACCTGTTGAAAGACCCATAGGCATAGGCAAAAAGGTACTCCCATTGTTTCAGGATGTCGGGGCGCTGGGATATAGTTCTAGCTGCGCAGGTTTGCAGAGCCTGCCGGACAAGATTTTGAGCTGTGGAACATGTGTTGTTCAGAATCTCAATGTTTGGCAGAGAGTTGTCAAAAAATTGCACGTCGTAACTCCGGCATAATTTCCCGTAATTCCGGCGTATTTTCCCGTAACTCCGGCGTAATTTCCCGTAACTCCGGCGTATTTTTTGGACTGAGTCTTCTGCAGGCTTTGATTGTGAACAGTTTTTTCACAGAAGAGTTTTGACAGGAACCATGAGTTCTGCTACTACTTTATTGGGGGGGCCGTCCTGAGGCAAGCTTTCATGAAACATTGAGAAGCATAAGAATCATGGAGAGCAGCCCACTTTGTAAAAAAACACTTTAGAGACACGGTTGCAGAGAAAGAGCGGTTCCTTGCCACATACTCCTTGGAAGTCTTTGCTTGGGCACAAGTTGCTTATATTGTGTGATGGTTTTGCTCTTAGGCCATTCGCAAGATGGGCGAGGGCAATGGGAACGGGAAGGTTCGAGTGTGCTCCAGAAAAACTACTCGCAACAGTGGGCAAAGGCAGTTTCCTTGTGTATGATCCAACCTTTTATCATCTCTGTTTTTCAGAATCTTGGATCCGGATGTTTTTTAAGGTCTCGGGCGTTTTTTTCGGAATCCGGCGGAAAATTTTGCCGGATTGAGGTCCGGCACTTTTTTTCCGCCCAAAGGAGGATCCAGGTATATGGCATACATGGAGTGTCTGGGATAGAAGAATGGTCAAGAACTTGCCACGCAAAAGAACTTGTACCAGTTCGGGTGGTTTTGGCTCCACCATGCTCAATGGGTGGAAGTGATTTTTGGGCACCCTTCTACATCGCCATGTTCCGTTTGAGAAGTTCCATGTTTCGTTGTGCTTTGCCAACACCCATGGCTCGACCCACTGAGCACTCTGGACTCCGTTCGTTCGGCACCCACACGGCCCATGGAACCCGAACGCAGCCAATCACTTTGCGTCCAGCTCACGTCACAAGGCTGGGCTGCAAACGCAGTGCCGACATGCCTCGCGGTGGTGTTGGATCAAGAAGCGAAGAAGCAGTGGACGAAGTGGACGGTGTCAACCCCAAAGACTCGACATTCCCAAAGACTCCATTGGGAATGGAACAAGTATTGTCCCTAAGGACACATGTACCCTCTGAGAAGGTGTTTGGGGTGGGTGCCAGGAGGGTCCAAGTACCTTTTGAGGAGTATGCCTATATATACACTATCCTACATTGACATATTATCCTAAATTGACCCTGAAATACCCACCTGCAACTGCCAGGAAGAATTGGAACCTTGGAGCCTCCCACCCGAACCAAGACTCAGCCCGCTCAAAGCAAGTGATCCAGGCGCCGGGATAATCCAGGCTACGGCGCCCTTTAGAGTTTCAGGCTCGCCAGCATCCCACAGGATGTGCTGTGTATCCTAGACGCGACTAATGGAACTGCCATACCAATCAATTGGGGTGGTGCCAGGGGGGGTCAATGTAGGCATATATTCCATACATGGAGTCTATGGGTATGCACAAACTAAGATCAACCAACCTGTGAGTTCTCCTGCTCAAACAAGTCATCTTGATCTCAGTTCATCCGCCAGTGAATGATCTTGATCTCCATCAAATGGCCATCTCCACTGGACCTATTGAGGTTCATCATGTTCATCGCCACGAGGGTGCAAATGACTGCGACGTTCTTTTTGATAAAGAAAAGCTCTATGAAGTAGGGCTCCAAATCCCACCCCGCTCTAAATATACATTATTTTTGGCCCCAAAAGCAATACTGGTCCCCTAAGTCAGCTGCGGGAGATCTGTAGACTATGGTCACAGGTCACGGTGCTGCTGTCTTCTAACCCGTCGGTCGGTCCGGCGAAAAACGGAGACCGGTCGCGGTGGTCCGACGCGCCTCACCTGGTGTTGGTTCCGACCCGATATGGTTCCAACCCAAAGCATCCCCAGGACCAGGAAGAATGAGAACATGTCAAACGAGGAATTCACCAGGCCAGCGAAGCTTCCGGAGTCCACCGGACCAGCGTTTGTTGGGAGTTGAGGGACCTCAACCAGGCTAGGCGGTCCTGACTTCTGTGAGAGATCGCTGGGATCACCCAAAAACACCATGCTGTACCACCCTACCATTCACACCCTAGCTCATCCCCTCAACTGCAGGGCTTATAGTAAGTAGTACCACCCTATAGTGCCAAGACTGTCCTGAAGTGTCCTGAAGAGCCCAAAAGTGTCCTGAAGAGCGCAGCACTTCTACAGGAGTCCAGCACTTCTACAGGTCCCCGACAACCGGAAAGACCGGGACCCTCCGATGGGCGTCTCCTCACCCTCGGACCCCGTCTCCGCCGGACACAGCCCGACTCCCGGTCCCACAGCCACCGTCCCAAGCCATAGGAGTGTCCATGGGGGCGGTCTGGGTATGACATATCTACATTGGCTGCGGGTGTTCTCAAGGGGTCAATGTACCAGGACAGCCGAGCTGACGTTTAGGCCATCTGATGAGGTCCCATGATGGGTCGAGTCCCAAACACTTCTCATGACAAATTGGCTACACTGGGGTGCTTGAATAAGGGGGTCAATGATGTGTTACAACAATATCTTCCAGCATCTTCCAGCCCTGCAAATCCCTTGGGTTGTGTCGCTCGACTTGAACAAACATATGAAAACATATATCGCTCTCGACCTCATCGGGGTTTGTCGAACACAAATCACTTGGGCTTGCTGCGCTAGGGAGCGGGGTAAGAAATAGAACATATGTCCTTTCTGCATGTCTATATCCCATTACCAGTAACCAGTGGGTGATGATTGTTAGGTTGCAGGCCTAGGTTGCACTCTCAAATAGTGAGAACTGTTTTACTGACTTGTGCAAGTTTACCGGGACGTAGTCACAACATCTTTCCCGGTTTGGGCGGTCAGATCAGCTCCCTCGGGACCGAGTCGACCCGTTCGTAGCCTCGGACCCTGGGAACCAGACGTCCCCATGACTCTGAGGGAACTGGGTCAGTCGGGTCCAGGTGAGGTGGGGAACATCCAAACATCACCCGAAAAACACACACACACACACACCCAGGACGAAGTTGACCCGAAGTTGACGCCTTGAAGGATCCCTAAGGCGCGTGACCACTGATGGCCATAGGCGAAACCTCCAGTTTCGCGGGACGTGGGACTTTGGAGGATTGAGGATGGGGTGCCAAAGGATGTTTGGACTAGAAAGAGGTTCTATACACATGTGTTCCCCATGGTTGCGTAGGTCTCCCATGGTATCTGAGTCTTGGAAATCTGGTGGACCGGTCGTGACCGGTAGTGTGTGTCCCCGGTCCGGATCGACATCGGGTGATGAAGACACTTGACGAGTCGTCACCTGAAGACCTGCGGTGCTTGCAAGCTCCTAAAACCTCCATGGTGTGGCAACGTGACCGACAGGCCGTAACCAGGCTTCGAGCTTCAAGGTAACTGATGTTCTTCAGTTCGTGACACTTGATCCGGCACAGTTGGAGGTCACTTTTAGGGACTCCACAAATTGAGTCAGATTGAAAAAGACTGGCTGGTCCTAGTTTGGAACGAAGCCATGCATAAATAGTCACCCAAAATGTCTGGCAGAGGTCTAGGATGGTCTAGGATTCTTCCACGGCACAAGCTGTTTTTCCAGATCACTACACAAAATCTGTTTGGCTCGGCATACACACGCCCGAAATCAGGAGGTGAGAAGCCATGCCCCTGGATCAAAACATGTCAAGTCGCAAAACACCGGAGTCAGTGAGAAGACAACATAGGTCAACGTCTGTTCGCGGGTCTGTTCCGCCTGGCCATAGACAACAGTTGTCCGCTTGGTCCAGCGGTTGTTTTCAACTCCATCTTCCCGCAGAGTCGTCCAACAAAGGTCTGACCAGTCGTCCAACATGGACTTGCTCGTCCCGCGAAGGTCGGCGAAGGTCTTCTTGCGTCTGCGTGTGCAGAGAATAGGAATGCTCGTCCTTCGCTGGAATCGTTGGCGACTGTGGCGCGAGGCGTTGGTGAGCGAGGCTGAAGCACCAAAAGACCAGCTTCTGTAGATGTCACCAGAATCTGTACCTGCTCGGCTAGCCAAGGCCTCCATGGAATTTTGAAGAAAGAGACAACTGTCCGGAATATATGATTTGCTTTCCAGCGAGATCCGCAGCCTCCAAGCAGTACAAAACACAAACCTGTGACTTGTTACAAGATCAGGGTGCTTGTGTGTTGGGAGTCAGGAGAGGCTCAATGTACCAGGACAAACGCCTCCAAACATCACCCTAGAGATGGGTCCAATGATAGGTACGTCCATGCACTCTTTTTGGATGAATCCCGAACCCCAAACACTGCATATGACATCTTCATCTACATTGGGGTGCTTAAAGGAAACGGATGATCTTCCAGTCCCTTGGAGTCCCCTGCTTGCCTGGAGTGTTTTTTTGAGGTCACGGTAGGTCGCGAACGTCCCGTGATCTCCCACAATGCAGTGAAAAGAAACAAAACATTTAAAACCACTTCTCTTTTGGTGCCCATACGCCGTATACGCCCAGGTTTTCGCGTCAAACCCCAGGTGATCGCTCCAAAGCGGGCTTTTCGAACATCTTTGACATAGCCCGTGAAGTCAGTGGAATCGACCAATGTGCCAAAAAATGTGTGCACATGCTTTTCAGCACATGTCCATGTCTATATTAACTTCACTCTTTGCTCAGGTCACGGCTTGCCTTTTTGAGATCTCCAGATCCACTCATCTCCACGTCCCTCCACCATCGGCCCAGGCGCCCGAGATCGCCGCGTTGCAGGTCACCAGATCCGGCGCCAAACGCGGCTCGGCGGCCAGCTGCGCTAGAAGCTCCAAGACGAGCCTGGTGGAACAGCCAGATGGGCTGAAATCAATCCCAAACATGACCGATGGGTCTGGAATATAGCTACATTGAATGTAATATATATATATACACCAGTGGATGACATGATGATGATGGTTAGGTTGCAGGCCTTTCTCAAAATACAAATTATAACCTATATATATATGTCTTATACCAACTTAGATATATGTAATATTAAAATATCTTATCCATTCTTATACCAACTTTTACTGGTAATGGGACATGCCATGACACACCCCAGGGCAGGTCAGTGATGTTTTCAGTACAAACAGTGTATCTTTGGAGTTGCTGTGAACTTGATTCCTCGTTGTGGCAAAATCTCCCCAATTTCAAAAGGAATGATTACGTTGAATCGGGTCAAGATATGTATGTATAATTTGTAGACTCTTGATTCATTTAACCAAAACAAACATCAATTTGCATGGAGACACCTGAGGCCTGGGGTGTTGAAATTTCATCAACCAAATACATGTGCGTGTCCGGCGTGTCCCCTGAATGTAAATTGGTCACCAAGAGCTCCAAGAGCTCCATTCACTGCGTATTAAGAGATCCATTCACCGGGTATGTCCAGGTCGCTGTCAGATCGCTTCATCACTCCTCGAGTCGATCCCTTTCGCCGGTCCGACGGTTCCGCTCCGCCCCCCGGGCGATCCCAAAAGCGTCGATGGTTCCATCGCTGCCATGGGGGAACCCCATGGCATGCGAACAAAGAACCAACCGGTGGGTTACTAGGTGTGGTTTTGACTTGACCAATACAAAGTGGATCGGATCGAGAGCAACATGTTTTGAAGCCGGGAGGACCAACTCTTCAGCACAGGCACAAGTCTACATCCGGACCGACTTGGAGATCTAATGCTTGCAGGAACTTATGACCTATACAAATCCTGTTCAGTCCAATCATCATGAAGTTGGCATGGATCAAAGTTTTGGTACAGCAACTGACCTTAGAAGTGCATTCCAGTGGATTGAGATAAAAGTATAGTGTATAGCAGCCTATAGCAGGGTATAACCAGTGGTTCCAAAGACCACCAAACCGCAGACTAGTGGACTGACCGGGTTCTGGGCACCTGGTTCAGCCAAGAACGCCTGGCCGCGGATCCCCTGGCTCTGGCGAGTCAAGAGACCGCGTTGACTCGATCTCCCAATAGACCATGCAGTACGACAAGGTACCCCCATGCCCTCTGGCTCCAACCCCCCACCTCCGGCAATCGGTTCGATGGGACAGGGGTGGGTGGATTTGGGGGGTCTAACCACCGAACCTGAGGAGATGGGCCAGGAGCCCTAGGGATGGATCAAACAGTCAATCCCCAACAAATGCATGAACTCTCCACGCGTATGAAAATGGTAAGGAAAACGCTGTTGAGGGTGCCACCAGGTTGGTGCTCCAAGCGGACAACGCAAGGTCGTCTGTTCTTGGATTTTGTTGTCCAGGAACCTGGAGAAAAGCATATTCATATTTCCCAGAAGGGGATCTACCATTGTAAAATAAACACATATAAACACATCACCTGATCAGCAAACCCAGGCTGTTCTTGGCCTCCAGTTTGCTTCACATGCACTGATGACCTGAGTCAGAACCCACCTTCAGGGCCCTGCGACACCGAGCGACCTGCGACACCCGTCGTTCGTTGGTTCGTTGGTTCGGTGCCAAAGCTCAGGTGAGGACGAAAAGGACACCGCTAGCGCTAGGTGCCAAGTCACGGAAACGGATCCCAGGGATAACAAGCGTGCAAAGAAGGGTTTGGCCCGTTCCACTGCCACCTTCTCAGAAGGTAATTGGACACTCAAAGCCTGCATAAATAGTCTCCAATTGCCTTCTGAGAAGGTATGTGGATCCATAGGGTTTTGGTGTTCACCAAGTGCTCCTGTGGCATCGTGGGGCTAACCGTTGCGCCTGGCAGCCTTGCAGCCTTTCAATGCCCTGGCAGCCTTGATCGGGTGCTTCAATCAAATCCCGTATTTATCGTTCACAACATATTTGTGTCACCTGAGGTTGATAGAAGTGTAAGGCACACATGGCTCTGGCATGACTTATCGGTGTGGCAGGAAGCTTTGCAAACAACATCAAAGATCATCATGTATATATCATCCCATGACTATTTAATATGTCCCCCAACAAGTCCAAAGACCACGTAAAACTTTGTCTTTCACCTCCTTGAACACCGTGCTGGACCGTGCTGTTGGTATGATCAACTCCAGTCTTCAGTCTTCGGTCAAACATGGTCAAACTGACCTCTACAGTGGTTTCAGAGTAGATGGCACAGACCCCAAGATGTCCTTTATATAGGGGTCCATATAAACCACCCACCTCTTGGGTTCTGTGCCATTGGTCCTCTCAATCCACTATAATGAATGCAGGGGTCCCGTCTGACCACCCCCTCCGCCGACTCCACCGAGTCACCGCGTTGTAGGTGATCAGCTCCGGCGCCACGGCGCAGCGGTGGAGCTCCGTCCAAAGCTGCGGGTCGAGCACCGCGCCGGGGCCGAGTCGAGGGGCGTGCGAGAGATGGCGAGAGTTATAGAACGAGGTGTGAAAGGTTAAGGGTGTCTACAGTGTAGATTGTATAGAGATGTATTAGAGCCTGGCCTGGTCATTTTTAAGGCTTCCGGGCCCAGAACTAATTTAATAGTCCCATATTGGGCAAACATGGGCAGATCTGTTTGATTCCAACTGCACCTCATGTCGCCTCATGTCCAGCACAAGACTCGGTTGGTCCTGCTGCATGTTTTGAGTCCTGACCTGTTAGACTGATTGATTGAAGAAGTCCACCACTCAACAACCTTCCTCTGAGTTGGTTAAGACGCCTCGCTTTGGCCAGAATCCTTGATCTTTAGCTTCTAGGGAAGCCTATACATAGTGTAGCCTTCCAAAACCATTACAGTAAAAGAAAGGTTGAACTGGTTTTAAGTAGTGTAGACTTCCTTCGTAACACAAAAGACGACTCTTTTCGACCACCTCGACAAAGACACATCCAGCAGTCACGAATGAGAACCGGCAATCACAAAGCTCGGGGTGCCGGTTCCGATCAAAGGAAGTCGGGGTGCTGCCCGACAGTCACATCCAGGGCCCCTGGATGGGACGAGCCACACCACCCCGAGCGACATGTGACTCCGGGAATCACCTTGACAGATCGGTACTAGACAGTTCTGCCAAAGGCGACAGGTGGAAAGGCCGGGTGCTGCCTCGGAACAGCACTGGCCAGGCAAGAAGCCTCTAGAATGGTGATATTTCACGCCAACCAAGTCACCCTCAAACGGGTAGATGATGGTAGATAGAGATAGGTCTTGCAAATCAAGACCTCTCACATCAATCCACGTGTTGATGCTTCCATATGCTTAGACCAACACTGTCTCAACCGGTGATCGGTGTCGCCTGTCTCCAGCTGTTTCCAACCCAAACGCCCAAAACGCCGGTGCAGCGCCCATCGCGAAACGCCAGGTCCTCCACAGCCACTTCCCAAATCCGTGACTTTTCACAGGCGCTGATGAGAGCACCTCGATCGGATTGTTTGTTTCAAAAAATCACCCCCCCCAGATGTGTACGCCCCAATTGCTGATCTATTTGTAAGTTTCGCACATCCAGAATGTGTGTTTTTTTTGTGCAAACAATTCACCCCATGTCATCAAAGCAGTCACACACACACACACACTCATATATCATATCCCACATGTTTTGAGCCCAAGCGCTGAAGGTCACCACATTTGGCTGCAAACGCAACTGCCGCAGCTGCGCCAGCTGCTCCAGTGCCTGCGTCCAAGTCCTGTCGAAGCTGCAACGCGCGGTGGAAACACACTCGCACACCGTAGTGGAACAATGAAAAAAAAGAGATGTGCTATCCCTAGCCTAGGGCTCCAACTATATCCTCAGAAGGTGGTTAGACCCTCCAAACCCACCCCAACCATCTTCTCAGCAGGTGGTTGGAGCCCTAGGGCATATAAGGTGTTCCACATGGAATGGTCCCATAGCTTTAATAAAGAAGAACATGCCGTTTTTGAAGGGATCCCCTCATGGAACAGCAGGCTCTTTTGCACAGGGGAGCTGTTCAACTTCCATCTTTGCTCATAAGTGGCACCAGTGTGTCATAAGTCGATTGTGCAGGGCAAAGGGCACAAAGCCCCTGGAGAAAACGGACCTCTTGACTACAAAACAAAAGCAAAAGAATCAAAAAAGAGAGGAGGTCTGCTAAATGAAGGGACCACCTGACATCATGTGCTTCAGCACCTATCTAGAGAATCGGCTGAGGCTACAAAGCATGTATTTGACCAGGTAGACCCTCGCAATTCCGGTCTGGGTCTGAGAAACATCATCTTCGCCCTGGCCTACCTCCGGCAATCGGTTCGATGGGACAGGGGTGGGTGGATTTGGAGGGTCGAATACCACCTTACCTGAGGAGATGGGCCAGGAGACCCCGAACCAAGCAGTCCCAGCCCAGCCCTGCCAGCCCTGGCAGCCGACCACTTCCCACGGTGTCAGCTCGAAGGAGCCCAGTGGACCAAAAACCGGACCCGACCGGCATTTCG